GAGACCACTCTCCTAAGTGAAGTATTGCAAGAATGGAAAAACAAATACCACATGCACTCACTATTAAATTGCAACTAACCGATCAGCACTCACGTGCAGGGATGGAAGTGAAACTCAACAGAAGCAGGTGGGAGGAATGAGGAGGGAATGAGTGAAATCATACCTAATGGGTACAGTGTACACTATCTGGGTGATGGGCACACTTATAACTTTGACTCAAGCAGCATACAGGCAACTCACATAACCAAAACATTTGTAGCCTTGTAATATTTTGAAATTAAAAAAAAAAAGAAAAGGCGCTCAGCATGGTGGCTCATGCCTGTAATCCTAGCACTCTGGGAGGCCAATGCGGGTGGATTGCTTGAGCTCAAGAATTCAAGACCAGCTTGAGCAAGATTGAAACCCTGTCTCTCCTAAAAACAAACCAGGTGTTGTGGCGGGTGCCTGTGGTCCCAGCTACTTGGGAGGCAGAGGCAAGAGGATCCATTGAAACCAAGAAGTTGAAGTTGTTGTGAGCAATGACGTCATGGCACTCTACCAGAGCAACAAAGTGACACTCTGTCTAAAAAAAAAGAAAGAAAAAAAAAATAAAAAAAAGAAAGAAAGAAAAGAAAATGATTCATCAAAAAGGATAAAATACTAGGAACAAAGGAAGTGTAAGATTTGCATATACAGATCTATTAAAAATGTTGAAAGAAATTAAAGATCTAAACAAATGGAAAGATGTACAATTTAATATTGTTAATATGAGAATATTCCCTGAATTGACCTACACAATCCTTATCAACTCTCAGCAGGTTTGAAGAAATAAATAAGCTGTCTTAAAATTAATATGTAGCTCAGTGCCCATAGCTCAGTGGTTATGATGCCAGCCACACCACTGGGGCTGGTGGGTTCGAACCCAGCCCAGGCCTGCTAAAACAACAATGACAATAGCAACAAAACAGCTGGGCATTGTGTGACTCCTAGCTACTTGGGAGGCTGAGGCAAGAGAATCGCCTAACCCCAAGAGTTTGAGGTTGCTATGACGCCACAGCACTCTACCAAGGGTGACATAGTGAGACTCTCTCTCAAAAAAAAAAAAAAAATATGTAAATGTAAGGAGCCCAGAATAGCCAAAACAATTTTAATGAAAGAAGAACAAAGTGAAAGACTCATACGGCCTGATTTCAAAACTTACTACAAATCTTCAGTAATCAAGACAGTGTGGTACTGACATAAGGACAGACACACAGACGATGCCACAGCATTGAGAATCCAGAACTAAACCCTCACGTTTGTGGTCAGTTGATTTTACAAGACAATTAAGTGGGGGAAAGAATAGTCTTCTCAACAAATGGTACTATGTCTCCTACAAAACAATGAATTTGAGCCCCTTCCTTACACCATAAAAAAAATTAACTCAAAGTGGATCATAAACCTGACTATGAGAGCTAAAATCATACAACTGCCGTAAGAAAACATAGAAATAAGTCTTGGTGACTTTGATTTTGTGATAGTGTCTAACATATAGCGCCAAAAGTATAAGCAACGAAAGAAATAGATACATTCGACAACATCAAAATTAAAACTCGTGCTTCAAAGGACACAATCAAAAATGTGAAAATATAACCCTCGAATGGGAGGAAAAATTTGCAAATCATATATCCAACAAGTGACTGGTATCTAGAATATATAAAAAGACAATTTAAAAACAGCCAAAGGGTTTGGATAGGCATTTCTCCAAAAAAGACATACATATGGCCAATAACCGCATGGAAAGACGTTTAGCCTCATTAGTCTTTAGAGACATGGGAATCAAAACCACAGTGAGATAACAGTTCACCTCCACCAGCCTGGCTATCCATAAAAGAGCAGGCATTGTCCAGGACAGAGACCTCGGAACTCTTACACATTGCTGGTGGGAGCATAAACTGGCACAGCCACCTTGGGAAATAGTTTGGTGGTTTCTTAAGATGTCAAACATACTCAATAACCCAGAAATTCCACACGTATATACCCAAGAGAAATGAAACACATGGCCACACAAAAGTTTATATTTGGATGTTCATAGCAGCATTAGCTATGGGAATAGCCAATATGATCATAGTACTCCATAAGTGGGATATTACTAGCTCTATTTAGCTGAAATAGCCAAAAGGTAGAAGTAACCCAAATGTACATGAGTTGATGAATAGATATTTTAAAAATGTGTTCTAAACCAATAAAATGAAATATTATTTGGCAATAATAGGAATGAGATATTCCTACATACTATTAATACAACATGGATGAACCTTGAAAACATCATACTAAATGAACGAACCTGGCCACAAAGACCATGTATGTTAAGACTCCACTTACCTGAAATGTTAGAATAGGTCGATCTACAGAGACAGAAAGCAGGTTAGTAGTTGCTAGGGCTGGGAGGAGGATGGAAATGGGAAGCAACTGCTAATGGATACTGGGTTTTTCGGGGAGTGGTGAAAATGTTCTAAAATTAGATTGGGCTAATGGTTACACAACTCTGTGAATATACTAAAAACCACTGAACTGTATACTTTAAATGTGTGAATTATATGGTATATGAATTGTAACTCAATAAAGCCGTTTTTAAATAAAAGGTCACTGGGGTCTGAACAGTGTGGTGGAAGTCAGGGGAGACTCCTCTTGGTCTTCCGATGTGGCCACTTGCAATTCTCATCAAACCAGGTCAGTCTGTTCGTCCCCAGATGGGAGGTCCACTGGAATTTCATTTTTCATTTCAAGACAAGGTTCAGGGTCAAGGCTATTTCAACCTGGCATCTAGTAGGAGTTAACAAGTGCTTGGTGAATGAGCATGCATTTGCATCAGTGTCACTGGTCACTGCCCAGCTGCAGCAGTCTCCATTGGAGGGGTGGGGAGGAATCTGGCTCCTCAAGGACAAAACTAAAGAGCTCCTAAAACTTTCTCTCAGAAGAGCCCTTCCTGAGTGCAGCAGAGAATTTGCTCATCTCCCGTGTACAGTGAGAAAATTCTTATGTTTTTCCTTTCAAATTCTTATGCCATGTGCATCGTACTCTGATATTTCTGAGCTTGTTTTAAATTTTAAAATGCTTTAAATTGCTAATAAAACTGATGCTTAGGGAGATGTGCTGTTTATTCTTGTGATCTAGAGTACATCTGAGTGTACGCTGCTGTGTTCATTCAGGAGAATGCAGTGGGCAAATACTACTTGGGTGCCCACGATGTGCTAGGCAGAGAGGGATGCTGTCGCAGACACAGTGCCTGCCTTCCTGGGACTCTGAGGTGAGAAGAGGTGTGTAGCCCCGTCTGGGGGGAGGAGAAATAGCTTGGTAGAGAGGACAGGATTGGGGAGTACAGAGTTTTAAAGCTCATTGCCTTAAATAAAAACCACAATTGCTAGGGGTGGTAGCTCACATCTGGCACTCTGGGAGGCTGAGGCTGAAGGAACACTTGAGGTTGAGAATTTGAGACCAGCCTGAGCAAGAGCAAGATCCCTTCTCTACTAAAAGAAAAATTAGCCACGCCTGGTGGCATCCACCTGTAGTCCCAGCCTCAGGAGGGCCAGGCAGGAGGATTGCTAGAGGCCAGGAGTTTGAGGTTGCAGTGAGCTATGATGATGCCACTGCACTCTAGCCGGGGTGACAGAGCAAGACTCTATCTCAAAATAAATAAATAAATAAATAAATAAATAAAATGACCAAAATTTATGTTCATCATAGTAAAATTTTTGCTAGCAAAAAGTTGGAAACTGTCTTAAATGTCTATTAGTGGAATAGTTAAACAAATCATAGTACCCCTGTGTACCAGAATGTTATTTAGCTATTTAATGATAATGGAAAATTTTAGTAAGAAAGGAAAAGGCTTATAATAACTTTTTATGTAAAGACAAGGCAAAAATGTAAAAATTAGTCGGGTGTGGTGACACGCCTCTGTAGTCCCTGCTATTCAGGAGGCTGCAATGAGCTATGATGACACCACCACACTCTAGTTCGGGCAACAGAGTGAGGCCCTATCTCAAAATAATTTAAAAAAAAAAAAAAAAGACAGAATACCAAATTATATACAGTAGGGGTCAACATATAAAAACACACCCAGAAAAAATACCAGCACAGAGTGCCCCAAATGCTAATAATCTGTGGATGGTAAAATCATGGGGGATTTCTCTCTTTGTGTCTCTCCCTAAATTTTCTATAAAAAAGCCTAGATTACTTTTACTATGAGTAAATCCCACTTCTTTGCTGTAGGAAGGCTACCACGCAGCTGTATGTAAGGGGCAGGGCTGGAGATGAACCTGGAGTGGGCTAAAGATGAGGCTGAGGCAGAGGGAAGGAAGAGACAGGGATAGGGGTGTCCTCTTTCTAGGGAAGAAGTTGAAATAAACCCTGAGTGGGTGCCGAGGAAGCCAGTGAAGAGAGAGAGGAGGACTGAGGAGAGAGCCTTAGAGGGCAGGAGGTGCAACTGGAGCCAGGGACAATGAGAGTGAGAGTGGATGAAGACGGGGGACTGCATGGAGGACAAGGAGGACAGAGATGGGAGGAGGAGTCCACAGTGTAAAACCTTGCCTCCCTTCTAGAGTTCCAAGGTTAGATTTCAATGAGATATATGAAAGCAATTAGGTACATAGGCTTTGGAGTCAGGCAGACTGGTTCAAACCTCAGTTTCAGAACATACAGCTATGTGACCTTGGGAAAACTCCCAACCTCTCTAACCTCTGCTTCCTCATCTGTTAATTGGGAACAACAGAAATCACCAGGTTCTTGTTTAGGTCACACAGATGATGCATGAAAAGAACGTGGCACGGTGCTTGACGCATGTGTGTACTCCCTAAACGATGTCTGTTACTGTTGTTGTTTTACCACAGTTTTAACACTGTGCAAAACATCTTTGAACCTAAAGGGATTATAATTAACAGTCTTTTGCTTTTGAAAGAGCTTGTCCTGGTCCTTCTGACAGAGCTTTCAGAGGGGCAGCGGGCCTCTGGAATGTTTACCCTGCTCTCCTCCTCTCTCATCCCCAGCTGTTCCATCTGCCACCATGAGGAACATCTTTAAGAGGAACCAGGAGCCCATTGTGGCTCCTGCCACCACCACTGCCACAATGCCAGTCGGGCCTGCAGACAACTCCACTGAGAGTGGGGGTGCTGGAGAGAGCCAGGAGGACATGTTTGCCAAGCTGAAGGAGAAGTTCTTTAATGAGATCAACAAGATCCCCTGTGAGTGACCCCGGTGCCTGAGAGGGTAGGGCAAGGCTAGAGTCTGGGAAGGGACTTGGAGGACAGGGCTAGGTTGAGGAAGTGGGGAAGTACCACTGGGGTGTGATTGGCTGGGCTCTTGCCTGATGCTTGGATTTAAGGCTAGATTTTTGGAGATCCCCATCAGGAATGGGAGAGGAGGGAATATGATCTGACATTAATGTAGAGAACAAGAGGGTTTATCTGTCTCCACTTCCCAGGGGAAGAAAAGTTCTTATAGCCTAAAAAATTATCAAAAGATGAAACCAAAATAAGATGGAAAATTATGAAACAGAAATCACCATTCAAGTTTTTTAGTAACAGTTTGAAATTAATTTATTTTGGAAGATAGAAATAAAAATCCTCTCTGCTTTCTGAACTTCTGCCCAATGCCAGACACCACAATTGCAGTTTAAGGGGGAGCAGACACACTGGTGGGAGAGGGTGCTTCAGAACCACGGGGAGCAGCCAGGGGTCTCAGTCCCATGCCTTTGAGTTATAGGCCCAGCCTTCCAGGTCCAGACTAAACAGTAAAAACCTTGGCCTTTCTGTCATGGGTCAGCCCTCTCATGACTGGGCACAAAGCTGGGGGACCAAGAGACTCTTCCTACACCTGAGTCTGCTGAGGATCACCCTATGCTCCCCAGGATAAACCAGTTCTCCCTAGAGCAAACTAATCAAAATTCAACAGAGCCCGGCTCAGCATTCTTCCACGTGTATACCTGATTGCTGCCTGTCAGTTAGCAGGCTCTGCCCACAAATGTAGTAGGCTAATAAGAAAAACGGGCAAGGCCTTCATGAAAAGCCACTCAAACTGACATGTGAGTCACTCTCAGGTGTGTGGTTTAAAAAGTGTGGCAGCCAGACACTGTGGCTCACGCCTGCAGTCCCAGCATTTTGGGAAGCCAAGGCAGAAGGATCTCTTGAGGTTAGGAGCTTTGAGACCATCCTAGGCAACAAAGTGAGACTCCACCTCTATCAAAAAAATGAAAAATAAGCCAGGTATGGTGGCATGTGCCGATAGTCCTAGCTGCACCCAGGAATTCAAGGTTACAGTGAGCTGTGCTCAGGCCACTGCACTTCAGCCTGGGTGACAGACTGAGACCCTATCTCTAAAAGTAAAATATAATAACACAAAATAAATATCAAATGTGCAGCATGGGCACGGGGAGGGTCACAGTCTGACCCATTCTGCCAATGCTGTGGGGTCAAAACTGCAAGGCCCTGCTGACCCGGGATCCTCTCTGTGCGGGCAGTACCTCCCTGGGCCCTCATCGCCATCGCCGTGGTCGCCGGCCTCCTGCTTCTCACCTGCTGCTTCTGCATCTGCAAGAAGTGCTGCTGCAAGAAGAAGAAGAACAAGAAGGAGAAGGGCAAAGGCATGAAGAACGCCATGAACATGAAGGACATGAAGGGGGGCCAGGTAGGACGGGGGGGGGCTGCTTTCCTGATGCCCACAAGGGAAGCAGAGACTTCTGGATTCCTCAGCCAAACAGGCTTCCTCCTTAAAACTCCATATGGGCTCTGTTGGTTGCATCTCCAGTATAATGTTATCCACCCATCAGCTAGGGAACTCATTCTTGGGTGAGCACGGACTCAGTTTTGGAAAGATGGAGGGAGAGAACAATGTAGCTACTGGGACAGAATGTTGAAAAAAGCTTCCCCTCCCCCCAGGGAAGACACTGTTGGGTCATCCCGTGTTTTCCTTCCAGGAAGACTAAAGGACAGTATCTCAATGGAGGCAGCTAACTGGGCGTGGGCTAGGGAATCGCATGAGGCAGAAGAGTGGTCCTGAGGCACTAAGACAGGGCCAATTGGAATCCATCTCTAACCATAGAACAACTTCATTTCTTTTCTTGTCTTTTGGTGTTGGTCAGCCTTGAAAGGTTCTTTGATAAACCAGAGTTTCTCCTTGTAAGTTTGATGAGGCCCCTGGGTGCTTCAATTTTCCTGTGTTTGTTTGGGAGTGACTGGGAAAAATCTCTTACTCAGGGAATCAATACAGAGGATGGAAGGAAGGGCCTGATCTCAATGGATCAATCAGGAATCAAAATGCCTTTGAGGCCAGGTGTGGTGGCTCATACCTGTAATCCTAGCACTCTGAGAGGCCAGGGCAGGAGGATCATTGAGCTCAGGAGTTCAAGAGCAGCCTCAGCAAGAGTGAGATCCTGTCTCTATTAAAAATAGACAAAATTAACCTGGCATGGTGGTGCATGTGCCTGCAGTCCCCACTGGGGAAGCTGAAGCAGCAGGAAGACTCAGGCCCAGGAGTTTGAGGTTGCAGTCAGCTACGATGACACCACTGTCCTCTAGCCAGTGCAACAGAGTGAGACTCTGTCTCAAAAAATAACACACAATTAAAGAAAAAAAAAATGCCTTTGAGTGTTAGTTTATGTGTGTGCACATGTGTGTGTGGGTGGGTGCCCCAAAAGGAAGCTGCAGAGTGAGGGTTGGGAGGGGTTCCAAGAATGACCTGAGTATAGCACAGCCTGGTCTCACTCACCAAGTGACTGTGGCGTCAGGGGCTCGTCTGAGGATTTTTTCTTACACCATTTTCTTCCTTCTTCCACCTCCGTGGACTCACTGGACTCACTTTGCTCCTGCCTACGTGGACTGCCCTCTGGTACGTTACCTAGGGCGGGTGGGGCCTGTGGGGGGAAAGCACTGGGAGAGTGCTAGCCAGGGAAGCGAATTCCCCCACCCGGCCTCAAGATGCTGTAGCATATTTGACAAAGTGCCTCTCAGGGAGGTGAGAGGCCTGCCAGAGCCAGAGCTGTGTCCTCCAAATATGGGGCTGGGGCTTGGGGGCTTCTGGGGGTCAAAAGGGGTGTGGAGGAGTAGCTTCTGGGGGTTCAAAGGGGTGTGGAGGAGTAGAATCCTATGAACAGGGTCCACATTCCCTCCCTTCCTCCCACCCAACTCTGAATTGGCACAGAGGGGCTGGAGTCCCATTGCCAGCGCCAAGCCAGGCTGCTCCGTTCTCTCCTTTAACTTGTTTCTGCTCTCCCTCAGCACCCACAGGATGATGATGACGCAGAGACAGGCCTGACTGAGGGAGAAGGTGAAGGAGAGGAGGAAAAAGAGCCAGAGAACCTGGGCAAACTGCAGTTTTCCTTGGATTATGATTTTCAGGCCAATCAGGTGTGTGGGACTGGGCTGGGCCTTGGGTAAATGCAGCTTCAGAGAGGAGCGGGCATTGCTCCTCTCCATGGACTGTGGCAGGCTGGACACTATAAGGCACAGTGCCCTGGACAATGACCCTGGCTTAGCCACTAGCCTCCTGTGGGGAAGGTTCTAGGTTGATTATGCAATTAACCTGCTCACCAACCTTGGGCAAATCAATTGCCCTTTCACCTCCAGCTTCCCCAAATGTTATTCCAAATTCCTTAGAATGGAGATGGAAACCAATCTTCCCTGCTCGCACCAGGAAGGGGGTTGGTGGGAGAAGGGTCTGGGGCCAGATTTGGCACTGGAGCAGTTCTGAGACTCAGGCCCCTCCTTCTCTCCACAGCTCACCGTGGGCGTTCTGCAGGCTGCCGAACTGCCGGCCCTGGACATGGGAGGCACGTCAGACCCATATGTCAAAGTCTTCCTCCTTCCTGACAAGAAGAAGAAATATGAGACCAAAGTCCATCGGAAGACCCTGAACCCTGCCTTCAATGAAACCTTCACCTTTAAGGTGATGAGGGCCAAAAGGGTGACATCAGCTCCTGCTCCCTTCCAGATCCCAATTCTCCCCTGACTTCTTCAGACCTTTCCTTGGTCCTTAGCATGGCTCAGTCTGGAGTAATGGAAGGCTGGGCTATGGGCCTGTGTGTAAGGGACCCCTCCTAACCTTCCCTTGCACGCTGCTCCCCCAGACTTACCAAGAGCCCTATGGGAAGGCTGGATTGGAGGTCCAGGCCCAGGGACCTGCCCAACAGCATCCCCTGGAGTATATGGGTCACGCTGGCCCCTTCTGATCCTGCTTGTACCCTGCAGGTGCCATACCAGGAGCTGGGGGGCAAAACTCTGGTGATGGCCATCTACGATTTTGACCGCTTCTCCAAACATGACATTATTGGAGAGGTAAAGGTGCCTATGAACACTGTGGACCTTGGCCAGCCCATTGAAGAGTGGAGAGACCTGCAAGGCGGGGAGAAGGAGGAGGTGAGAGCAGAGACTAGGCCAGACCAGGCAGAAAGATGAATGCAGCTTCTTACCTGGGCTCCCACATTTTGGCATGACAGAAAGAGGGTGGGCTTTGGAGTCAGGTGACCTGGGTTAGGATGTCAGCTTCACAGGGCCTAGCTGTGTGACCCAGGGCAAGTGGCTTATACTCTTTGGACCCAGGCTCTTTCCTTTAGTTTCTTTTTAGAGATGACAATTAACCATCTACATAAAGCACCTAGTGCCATGTCTGGTAGGTACTTGGATAGATAAGAACACAATTATTAATATCCCTTCTAAGGTTTTATTATGATAATAAATATGGTCAGTTTACCCACACAAAAAGCTCCTGTTGATTCTAAAGGACACTGAGCATGGAGGGCTTGTCCTCTCAGCCACTGCCATAGCATTCATTCACTCACCAAATATTTATTGAGCAACTGCTGTATACCAAAATCTCTACTTTACCCACTGCTCCTTCCAGGTATCAGTCTTTCATTTCAGCCAAGCCCCAGCTGTTGCCCAGAACACTGCTGGGCAGTGATAGAGGGATGAGTAGAGAAACTTAAGATATCCTTTCGACTGTGGGGCTCACACTGTATCTGGTAGGAAGGCCAGCACACCTGAACCAGGATGTGTGTATGTGGTCAGTCTTGGCCATGTGGCCTTGACTGTGAGAAGCTTTGACTTTGTGGTATGGTATGGAGTCAGGAGGGTCAGGAGCCCTGGGTCCTCATCTTGCTTGCAATGCTAAATTGGGTGACTTTGAGCAAACCTCTATGAACTTCAGTTTCTCACTGGTGACAAAGAATCCTTGCTTTGTCTACATAAAAGTATTGTAGTGACTGTAACAAAAGAGATGTAAATTGCTTTGAAAACCACAAATCACTCTGCAGGTGGTATGTTCCACAGGCAGACTTCCATGGGCAAGAAGGGTTAGCGAGGAAGGCTTCCAAGACAGTCTCCCAGGGCCCTTAAAAAATGAACACTTGGCTACCACACACACTCCTCACACCCTTCCCCACCTTACTGGGGCCTGGGGTGAGAGCCCAAACACAGCCCCATCTGCCCACACCCACCCGGCATCACCCCTTGGTACTCCCCCACTCACCTGTCAGCATTCTCTGTCCGTGGCTCCTGCTCTGCCAGCTGGTCACTCTTGGGGACTTTGCTGAGCTGCAGTGGGAGGCCCTGAGGTCAGACTCAGGAAGATCTTCTCAGCCTTTACTGATGTGGGGACTGGTGACTGAGGGAGGGAGGGGCAAACCACTACCTTGCTAGTCTCAGCAAGACTGGGGTCAGTCAAGCAAGAGGCAGTGGGAGGGCTGAGAGGACTTGAGTTCTGTTTTCCCCTTGGACAGCCAGAGAAGCTCGGCGACATCTGCACCTCCCTGCGCTACGTGCCCACGGCTGGGAAGCTCACTGTCTGTATTTTGGAGGCCAAGAACCTAAAGAAGATGGACGTGGGTGGCCTTTCAGGTACATGCAGAACTTCTGGCAGCCATTGGGTGGCACCAGCGAGCCACTCACCACACAGAGCCTGGGGAGTTTTCACACTTCAATGAGGAGAAGTTTGCTGCCTCGGGACCCAGATGGCTTCTTACCAACCAAGCAGGGGAACCCAGGTTTTCCAGCCCCTCCCTTTCTCCAAGGATCTTCTATCTCTATTTGAAGCTGCCTTCAAGGTGCTCTCTGGCTATGCCCTCTGGGCCACGGAGAAACGGATTGGAGAAATGCCATCCCTCAGATGAGTTAGTGATTTAGGATTTTACTTTTCCCTTAGAAATCTAGGGAGTGGGCAGGGCCAGCACAATGGAGAACACTTTTCCAGGAGAGGCTCTAGGCTCTGCCAGCTCTGTCCTGGAAAGGGACACAGGGGAATGCTCTGAGTATCACATTTACCTGCTGGTGGGGAGGCTGGCCCAGGAACAGGGCTCTGGTGGGCGGAGCCCTCTGCCCCTGCCGTGCCTTGTGGGAGAGTCAGTCCTAGGCAGGGGCTGTAACCAGCATGTTTCCGTGTCAGCTTTGGCTCTGTCACTGACCTACTGTGTGACCTTGGGCAGGTCCCTTCTTTGGCCTCAGTTTCTCATCTGCGAGGTTTGGAGGATTGGATTGGGTGAGGATCATGACACAACAGACACATGTCCTGCTGTGGGACTCCTGGCCCCCCTGTCTAAAGCAGGACACAGAGCAGGATACAAGGCCTATATAGACTCAGAAGTTTTCCTACACATGCTCTAGGAAGCCACAACCAGGCAGTCCCTGAGGCGAGGCCTTTTTGCCACCCTTGAACTGGATAATGGTCTGTGTCTTTTGGACTTTCAGTCCTTTGACTCAGGGCCTTCTGAGGGTCTGCTCTTGGCAGGGTGGAGCCTTGTCTTCACTGATGCTCTGGGCAGGCGTCGGTGCATTCGGTGGGAGCATGGGGGGCTAAGGGAACCTCTCTGGGGCTGGGATTCTCCCCCTACAGACCCCTACGTGAAGATCCACCTGATGCAGAATGGCAAGAGGCTCAAGAAGAAGAAAACGACAGTGAAGAAGAAGACCCTGAACCCATACTTCAATGAGTCCTTCAGCTTTGAGATCCCCTTCGAGCAGATTCAGGTGCTCAAGCCCTTTAGCTCTTAGGGGTAGAGCAGGGGTCGGGAAGCAACCAGGTACGCAGAGGTCGAGGAGAGGGGACCCACCTGAAGACCACAGCACAGCCTTGCCCAGAGTGTTGGGGAGGCTCTGGGTCTAGTGATGCCTTGTGGGACCTCCTTCCCAGGGCATTCATCCAGAGGGCTCCCCTTTTCTGAGGACATTACTGTGAACTAATTCAAAACAACTCTACAAATCATTCCTTTAGGACTTCCAGGAACGTGATTGTGTGCATGGGTATGGGGGTGTGGCACAGGTGCCCTTGAGATTGGGAGCTGGCTGAGGGGTGGAGAGTGACATCCTCCTCTTCGCCACCTCTGCCGTCGCCTGCCCTGGCCATCCCTAGGGTTCCCCACTTGTGCTGCACCCTAGGTGTCTCCTATCCACACCTCTGACTGCCTCCTCTTCCCTTTTCCATCCATACCTCTTGCCTTTTCTGTTCTTCTTTCTCACTTTCCTTTCCTTCCCAACAGCAAGTGCTGTAAATGTGGGGGATGAAGTCTGTTTTTTACCACTTGTGGGTACGAGTGGGGTCTGGCCTTGGTAGGACAAGAGACCCACCCACCCATCTGGGCAGGAAGTCAGGAGCAGCCAGGGGCTTGCAGAATGGTGGATTCTTTGGAGTGTTGGTCTCTCCTTTGTAGTGAGCTGATCCCTCCTCTTCTCTTTCCTCCAAGGAGACTGGGGGGCAAGAATATAAGGGAATCTTTAGAGTTGCATGTCTATGAAACTATGTCATTTATGGAATTCTTCAATGGAACAATGGGCAGCTCAGCAATAACTTTTTTTTTTAGAGACAGAGTCTCACTTTGTCATCCTCAGTAGAGTGCTGTGGCATCACAGCTCACAGAAACCTCCTACTCTTGGGCTTAGGTGATTCTCTTGCCTCAGCCTCCTGAGTAGCTGGGACTACAGGTGCCCACCACAATGCCCAGCTATTTTTTCTTGCAGTTTGGCTGGGGCCGGGTTGGAACCTGCCACCCTTGGTATATGGGATTGGCACCCTACTCACTGAGTCACAGGCACTGCCCAACAATAACGTGCTTTTTTTGTTTGTTTTTGAGACAGAGTCTTACTCTGTCACCCTGGATAGGGTGCCATGGCGTCATAGCTCACAGCAACCTCAAACCATTGGGTTCAAGAGATCCCCTTGCCTCAGCCTACCAAGTAGCTGGGACTACAGGTGCCTGCCACAATGCCCAGCTAGTTTTTCTGGTTTTGGTAGAGATGGGGGGTTTTCTCTTGCTCAGGCTGATCTTGAACTCCTGAGCTCAGGCAATCTTCTTGCATTGGTCTCTCAGAGTGATAGGATTATAGGTGTGAGCCACCATGCCTAGCCTTAGCATAATGTTAATCTCAAAACAGTCCTCATATGGAGAACTTTAGGCAGATACAGAGTATACTGGCTTAGGCATCTCAAATTCAACATAGTGATCTCTTTCTGCCCCTCGGCCCCCATCTACCCAGCAGCCAACTCAGAAACATGGCTGTCACCTTAGACCCACCCCCCAACTTTTATCTTTTTCATTTATCCAGCACAATTTACTGAGCATTTCCTAAGTTCCAGGCTCTTGGTAGGGGCTGGGGAAATAAGTGTATGGGGACATAGCCCTTGCTGTCAAGGACCTCCCAGCAGGAAGGGACCAGGAAACAGGCCATTAAAGCACAGTGGCATCACAGCTTCACTGTGAATTCTGGTGAGGCTTCCCAGGGAATGTTTTGTCCTAAAGGATGAGTCTGAGTTGGCTAGGGTCACAGGGGAGAAAGGCATTGGCCATCAACAAACCCAAGTTCAAGGGTCCTCTTGAAGATCACCAAGTCCTCTTGATTTTCTCCCCTAATCATTCCTTCAATCTGGCTTTGACTTCACATACCCCTGCCACCACCTAGATTCAGGTATCCAGTATCTACCCTCCCAGATGCCCCAATAGTCTCCTCCCTGCCATTAGGCCCATTTCCGCCTCCAGTGAATTTTCTACCTCAATGCTAGGGTTCTCTCTCTCTAAAATATCCACCCCACTCCTCTTAAAGGCCTTCAGGAATCCCCTACTGCTTGCCTAAAGGATGAACACAAACTCCTTAGCTGACTCCTACTGGCCCTGCCAACCTCATTTCGTGCCTCACTTCTCTCTAATTACCTCAGTGACTCTGAACTTCTTAAATGTTCTAAAATGCCTAAGGCACTCTCCATCTCTCTGCTTTTACCTAAGCTAATCTTCCCTCTTTTCTCCTCCTAGAGAAATCCTCAGGTGTCATGTCCTCCTCACTTCCTCTGTGAAGCCTTTCCTGACTGACCCCAACAGGACTGTCCTCTCCCCTGAGTTTCCCTAGGACTCTGTGCCTTCCTCTTTAGCATAACCTTTATCACTCTGTTAAGTTTTTATGGTGTGTCTGCTGATCTCATCAGAGGTGAAGTTCATCTCTTCATTTTTCTTCCCCACATGAATGTTTAACACAGTACCTAGAGCACATGCTCAGTAAATGCCTGGGAGTAGAAACAAGTTGCCTGCGAAAGGTGTAACCTCTACGCCCTGCGTACACTCAGTCTTACTTGGAGCCAGAGATGGAAGCAAGCAGCCCTGGGGGGCTTTCTTTCCCAGTCATTTGGAGAACAGGTTGATAGAGAAAATTGGGTCATGGGATCCACAGTCTTCACCTGCCAACTGTCTCCCTTCTTTGCAGAAAGTCCAGGTAGTGGTCACCGTGCTGGACTATGACAAGCTGGGCAAGAACGAAGCCATAGGCAAGATCTTCGTGGGCAGCAACGCCACGGGCACAGAGCTGCGGCACTGGTCTGACATGCTGGCTAATCCCCGGAGGCCCATCGCCCAGTGGCACTCGCTTAAGCCCGAGGAGGAGGTGGACGCACTTCTGGGCAAGAACAAGTAGGCAGCAGCGGCCAGGACCCGCGCCCTTCACGGACACTGACAAGATCCAGAGCTATCAATACCTCAGTTATGCGACCTTAGAGGTTTTTTTCATTTGTTTGTGGTTGTGTCCTTGTTTCTCCTTCTTTTTCTCTTTTTAAAGACTAATATCCCTTTGATGGCTATGTGAGGAGAGTCCCCTAAGAGGTGAAAGAGGAGCCTGGCTCTCTTGGTGGTCCCAGGAGCTGCCCTTGCTGCATGCCCTGTCCGGCGCCCCTTTATTCTCTCTCGGCTTCACTTACGCGGCATCCTGAGTGAGGACCTCTACTGGCGGAAAGTGGCAGCACCTCCTGTTTTTTAAGCATCTGGACCAATGAAAAGGCAGCATGTCCCGTTTCCTGACAGGGAAGGAAACACAGTGGCGGATGATGTGTGTGTGTACGGATGATGTGTGTGTGTACGTGTCTGTGTCTGTGTCTGTGTCTATGTCTATGTCTATGCGTGCGTGTGTGTGTCTGTGCATGAGTGAGTGTGTGTGTGTGTGTGTGTGTGTGTGTGTGTATGTGTGTGTCATTTAGAATCTCTCTTCATTCCTGGAATGAACCTTGGACTGTGAAGTTGTCTTCGGGAACCCGGAAATGAAGAAAGTGCACTAAAAGTTTCAAAATCCTACTCAGATGCCCGAAGCTCCCATACTGCTCATGGGCAGCTACTGGGCAGACAGCAAGATGTGGAGATCGGATGTGTCCAGAACCAGGACCAAACCCCTGATGCCATCATAGACTTCCTCCTGTCCGTCATGGTTTCTCCAGAAATTTCTGGGACATTCATGGAAATAAACTACTCATCAGATTAGTCAGTTAAAACAGGGACTGTCAGCCCCAGCTTCTCACTCTAGTTGACAATGAATATCATACTACGAAGAAACACAAGTCCCATTACCCAGAAAGACCAAAATTAAACTGGATCTTCACTCTTTCCAGTGGGAAACACAGATGCTCTCTCCCTTTCCAGAATATAAGCAGTGCAGTTCATCTGCGTTTCTTCCCCCATTGTGCTTCTGCTTCTGTTTCTCTTTTAACACTCTGTGAAGACACATTATCTGTGTAGAGCCAGAGAATTTTAAAAGGAAGGTTTCAATTTGCTCAGTTCCCCTGAGGTCCAGGTAAGAAGGGAAGGATGGGGGACAGAGATTTCCTGGTGAATGAGATGAGATAGAGGGGAGCACTGGGAATCCCCCCACTCTCATCCCTGGGCCCTCTGCCCTCCATGCTGGAGAGCTTTTAAGTGGCTGGGGGAGGTCTGTGGGGGTCATCCTATTGTTCATTTGGAGGCTTCTCTATAGGAATGCCAAGAAACAAAGGGCATCCCTTCCAAGTTTCTATCCCATGCTCAGTTGTGTCCCTTTTGTCCCCAGCACTGATAAAAGCCATATATACGTTAGTCAAGTTTGCACTGAGTCTTCTTCAAAACCTTCAGCCTGGACAAGAAAGCCAGGTCCCCATGTGGCCAGAGGCCAGCCCTCTTTACCTCCCTTCTTTTGACCTTTCCCTTCCATCTGATATTTCTTCACCTCAGAAAACTCATGGCTTCCCAGGTTTCTGGGGCCCTCTCAGCAGCACTTCCTGCTCCATCTGGGCCACACAGCTTCCTGTAGGCACCTGAGACAGATGGATGATGTTGGAAAGAATCAGGCTTAGAGGATGGAGCATGAAGAAGGTGCAGAGTGTCTTTTTATTTTATTTTAAAAGGGGGGAGGAGTTTCTGTTTCTGTTTTGTTTTGGTTAAAGTAGGGAGTGAGGGAACAACCTACTAGAAACAGACTGTGAAGCAGGGCTCAGCCTGTCTCAGAGGCCCTTCTCTGCATTTTACTTGACTCTAAATGTGTGTGTGTGTGTGTGTGTGTGTGTGTGTGTGTGTAGATGTGTAGGCACGTGCACTTAACAATGGGAAGGTAGGACTCTGATGGGGATTATGAATCATTGGGGCCAGAGTTATAGTCATGGTAGAGAGCTGTAGGGCAATAGGGTCCCTTCACTAACTGGATGGCTATAGAGTAGGATTTCCTGGAATGGACATCAGAAGTCATTGGACTCAGTTCGGCGCCTGTGGCTCAAGTGGCTAAGGCGCCAGCCACATACACCTGAGCTGGCGGGGTTGAATCCAGCCCAGACCGGCCAAACAACAATGATGGCTGCAACCAAAAAATAGCCGGGCCTTGTGGCGGGCGCCTGTAGT